ATGTCTTTTGAGTCATTTATTCAAAGGAGTTCTTCTAATGTGTTGATGGTTTACGACAAGAACTGAACTAGAGTTGTTACACAACTACTATATTCTTTTTGATATTAATAGTACAAATTTTACACGCAGTACCATTGTCATATCTATGATAAGAATAGTTTTCTAACGGGTCTAGCTTGTTTTCTGACACACTTGAATACGTGCTCTGGTTGATCATACGAATTTCGTTTAGATAGTGTCTTTTGACTTCGAAAAACGCGGCTTAACAAGCCACGATCGACTTTCTTCTCTACTCGGGTTACGACGACTTAAGAAGAAAATATATAAATATTATTGTTTTGATGTAATAATCCAATTTCTAAGTGTCGAAATATCTATTCTGGAAAAAATACATTGTTCACAGTATTGAAGGATAATAATTTATGTGATGAAAAACAGAATAAATTCCATTCTCTTGTTATTACAATGTTTCAATCCTTCTTGTCAACCATTTGTCACAATTAGACATGTTTACGCGAGACAAGATGTTATGATGCCTTTTCAGCAGATTATTGTCATCAACGAATGACAACACATTGTCTTAAGCAATATTACTGGGTATATATGGTATTAATATAAAAGGGTACTGGCGATGTATAAAGAAGATACTGATAAAAACATTTTTTTCTTACTTTTGACCCACTCTGTACATCAACAACATGAAGGAAGAGAAGAAATACAATGATAAGGCAATCGGACGACAATATTTACTCGTTCTTCATAAGCATGTCCCATAGCCATCAATATGAATCTATTACTGTGACAGAGAACAATTCTACGATGTTTTTTGTTTCTCATGAGTATTATTGAATGTTTCTCGTATATTTTCACTATTATTTATGTTTTCCTTCTGTCTATTTGTTCCAGAAATTAATAAATGCAGCTGTGTTAACGAAAACTGGAGGAAATATTGGTAGAATACTGAGGAATTAATTTATTCTGGGATATTCGGTTATATTCCTATGAATAATTTGGTAAGAATTGATCTTTGATAAAAGACCATACAAAAACGAGCTGTACAGTGAGATATTTTTGAAAGGCATGACCTTTTGTTCTGGGAGAAGGACTTTACTTTCACTCTCCTCCAGTAAAGTTATTTCAGTGAATGACTCCAGTATTCATTAATCTCTAAAAAAAGAATCAAACACAGTTTTTCAAGGTTTGATCTAAATGAAAGATGTATCAGCCAAAATGTTTCTAATTTTAATATTTCCTAATTTTTGAAGTTTGAGAATGACCAGAATCTTCTTCTTATCAAACTATTATTAATATTTAATTGATTTATGTAGTGATGGAATTGTTTTCAATAACTACCAACACAACAATAACAGACATACAGTTATTAGTATATCCAATTGCCATTTTTCTTTTACTATTATGCCTATTAGCTATAATAGGAAATCTATTAATTATATATACTATAATTCGTGACAATACATTACATACATCTAAATATTATTATATTTCATCATTGGCATTTGCTGATTTCTTAGTTGGATTCATAGTTATGCCATTTGCGTTTCTATTTGAAATGACCAATGATGAATATTGGTTGTTTGTGCGGCATCTGAGAGTTTTTTGCGATTTTTGGCATTCGATGGATATATTTGCATCAACAGCATCAGTACTTGCACTGTTAGCGATCGGAATAGATCGATACACGGCTATTACAAAACCAATTGAATATTCTAATTCATTTATATCAAAAAAATGGTATTATATATCGTCATTTATATGGATATTTTCAGCAATCTTATCGTTTCCAGTAGTTTTTTATCTTCGAACAGAACAAACATTGTCTCGTACGTACTAAAGGATTTTAATATTCTATTTAGTATCGAAATCTTTGAGCATTTATTCCATTATTCATTTCCACATGCAGATATATTATAAATTTGAACTTTGATTTAATACATGAATTCGAGAATACAATTTTTTGTAATTGATAACTAATGAGAATTATTAATAACCGTGAATAAAACAGAGACAAATCTTTGGCACATAGATGATGAGATCGGTGTCAGCAACCAGCCGATACTATCTATGTAGTGCAATAGCAGATTAGGCATTTGAAGGAGTTATCATCAGTTAACAAGAATTGATTCTAATTTTCTTCATATTCACTCATCAATTGGTTTGATATAGAATGATCGACGCCTGTGTCCTGTCTGTCTGAAACACAGTTTAAAAACTACTAGAATTGATGCAGACCGTTACAGACATTTAGACATGCTGCTTCTTTGCACTTGTCGCAGATCGAGATCAGTGTAGCGAGAGTCTTCATGTACAATTAAAGCGGCTCTATCATGTTTCATATTTTAATCTCGTAGAAATTTCATTGAAAACGTTTTTGGATATTTGTACTTCGGAGCTTGGAGTTTTCTATTATTAGATTTTCAATGTTTTTTTTTAATTTCGAATTCATGTAGAACTTTGAAGTCCAAAAAATGCGATTTTTCTTCTTGTAGACATATTTGGATTCTTGTGAAAGATTTACTTTTGATAGTTCCACCTACATATTCATTCAGATTACATATCATCGTTTTTCAGTCTAGGAAGGAGTGGATCGACATTTGATGAATGCTACTTATTTTGTTATATAATGTTGAATTTAACTTTAGAACGATCATCGATGTCAAATGAAACAATATCGGCACAATTGTTACCATCTAATGAATGCAACTTTCCGAATAACCCCCATTATGTATTATTTACATGTATTATATCATTTTATCTCCCATTAATTGCTATGATTTATGTTTATATTCGAATGTATTCGATAGCTCAAAAACAAGCACAAGCGCTGCGCTCTGGTTACAAGCATCATTATCAAATAAAATCCCCAAAGCCATTCATCTCAGGATTTCGTTCTGAGAAAAGATCAAGAATAGAGACAACAGTAGAAACCAATGATAATGCCGCACATAAAACATTACCTATGTTATCAAAAAATCGTAGACCGTCATATGAATTAATAACACTTCGTATTCATCGTGGTACATGTCAAAACTCAAATATAGAACCGTTCAACCAGAATAACGGAAATGAATCGAAATCATTTAATAAGAATTCAAAAGAATGTGCACGAAAAAACAAAATTAGGAAAAAAAATTCGAACGATCAAAAGGCAGCTAAATTCGTTGGTATTGTTATGGGTACATTTATTGTTTGTTGGTTACCATTTTTTGTTTATCTTGCATTAAGTGGTGTATTTGATATACGTTTAAAAGACGATCAAAATCATAAATTATTATTCAGCATATTTTCATGGTTAGGATATGCAAATTCAGCTTTGGACGTTGTTGTTTACCTTTCGACATCGAGAGAATTAAGAGCTATATTTTTTAAATTATTTTTTAAATCATGTCTTTGAGTCTGCATACAATTAATCATGATTATGTATATTATTATCAAAATGTAACACTTACAGTGTGAAAACTGAAGGTGTGGGTGCGGATTTGAGTGTGCGTGTGAGTACAGTTTAAGATAAGCCATACACCCACACCTACACCTATGCCCACACCCAAAACCATCCATATTCTCTGCATGTGCCCTAATCATTGCGCTTAGCGCTTTGTTAACGTTGGATCTCCCACATATGCTTCGAACGTCTAGTGGTACAACGATTATCATATGTGTTAGTCTCATTAGCATTTGTTGGAGCGCAACAAATCGGTATATAAAGCTTGATGAAGTTGAGATGCGTGAAACATCAACGACTCTTTCTATTATGTATATTGTCATTTTTCTTCTCGCTAAACTATTTCTGCTTATTGTACATCTCTATATCTACTGTATACCTCCTATCTGACGGCAACTTGTCTAGCTTCGCTCACAATTTTTGTAGGATTTCATCTTCGACGCTTTTACAATTCCGTCTCGGCAGATGGTCGAGTGACGAACAACGAAAATGTTGTATATTTTTGATTGTGAATAAAAGTTAAAGACAGAGTAAAGAATCTCTTAGAAATTAAGTTTTATTGTGCTTACAACTTGCGAGAAAATGAGAAACAAGTTTTTTTTTAATTTTATTTTACAATAAAAATTATTTTGATGTGCTGCTATTTTTTAAAGTAACTAGTGATTTCTCACAATTTCATCAATTAAATATCAGAGTTCGGTGCCAGCTATTGCTATTTCTATTCAGGTATGCTTTTAGCCATACGAAAAACGATCGACTCATTCAATGACAGGATTATTCCTGACTGTGATTGTTTTCTGATTGTCAGGGTGTGGGCGTGGATGTGGGAGTTCGGAAGATAATAAATAGATTTCTGATGTATGAAAAAGTTCACTTGAAAAGTGACAGAGTTACGGACATCATAGAGTCTCGAACTTCGGTTCCCGTTCTAGTAAAGTTTTATTTGCTGGTCCTGCACATGTCTATGGTTAGTCTTTGATGGGTTCCCAGTGTCTGTCATAGTCTATAGAATAGGAAGCAGAGTGGATCTAAATTCTACTCTTAATATTTCAACACTCATTTTATATCGTGTTTCACCAAAAGGATTAAACCACTGAGTAAATTTACGTGTATTATCATAATCTAGAAAAATCAATAACACTCATATATCTCTCTTTCTAGGATATTATACTTTAATTATGTCTTAATAGATGAACAAAAATATTTCATGAGCGTTCTATGAAATGATTCATAGTTTTTGTTTCATCCGATCTCAGTTACAAAATTAAGAAAAAATCGCAAGAACTTTTTCAAATCATTTATTTACTGTGATAGGTAAAAATAATCACATGTATTTCTTTATCCGTAGGAATATCTAGAAAATTATTCTATTCGACGAAAACATTCATAATCAAATATGCAAGGATGCGGCAAGAAAGAAACAACGGAGACTTCAGTGTTGAAGTCTCATGAAGTTTTCTGACATGTTATGAAGTTGTATGAAGTCACGTGAAGTCTTTGAACTATAGCTTTTAATATAACATCAGGTGCAAAAGCAATGAGACAAATATCGACTCCTATGCCTCTTCAATAGAATGGTGTTGAAAAACTTTTTTTTATCAGAAGATAGAATTCTTTCCTCTTTCGAATCGTATATAACGTGTTTTTATCATATGTCCATCAATGGAACGGTATAAAAACTAAGAAAAGTATCCTTACAATGAGTCCGCATTTTTTCTATAAATTACAGAACAACATATAAATCCTTATAACACTTCGATAAATATGTTCTGACAAAAATATTTTTCCATCAGTCGATAAGACATTTTCTCCTTTCTCGAGCCATATATTAGGGGTGAGAAGTTATTGTTATCTTGTTGTTATTAATAACAATAACAATAACAAAAAAGTTATTGTTATTAATAACAATAACTATTTTTGTTATTTGTTATCGATAATATAACTTTTTTTGTTATTGTTATTAATAACAATAACTTTATTCAGAAAGTTATTTGTTATAAATAACAGGTAAATAACAAATAACTTTTTTTTTTGAAAACTCAGTGCGAAGTTTCTGTTGATTGTATCACATGAATCAGCACTATAAACGTTAGGGAATCGTTCCAAAGCATAAGCCCATCTAATGGGTACAATTAATATATACAGGGAAGTGAGACAGGATCTTTTTCAGAAAAAAAAGTTATTGTTACTGATGACAATAACAATAAATTCTCACCCCTACCATATATGACTTCTAATTGTCATAGATTCGTAAATTAAACGAGGCAAGCAAAAAGAAAAAGAAAAACATCCGCACAATAAATTTGTAATTTTATTTGAAATTATCAAAAGCACAGTATAAAACGGTAGTTGATTTAGATTAACTGTTGATTTACACTGTGATATTGACGAATTCATATAAAAATCGCAAGTTTATTGCGTGAGTGTTATTTTTTTGCCTCATTTAATTTACAGATATGTGACAAATATAAATCATCCTGTTCGAAAGAGGAGAATATTTTTTATCGACTGCTGTAAAAATATTTTTTTCAGAAGGTTTTTACCAAAAAGATATAAACATCAACATTTCGTTGCTTTTTCTTGAATCTGAAGACAAGTGTGAATTTGTTTTAGGATATTTGTCTTTCCTATAATATAATTTTGTTCATGAACAGGTGACAAACATAAGTTATATATAATTCGAATGAGAAAAAAAATTCTCGATATTTTTAATGGAAAAGTTTTCTTTCAGTGCTCTTCTGTTGAAGAGACGTAGGAGTTGACAATTGTTCCATTACTTTTGCATCAGATCTTATGTTGAAGTCTCATGAACTCTTTGAAGTATTTCGAAGTCTTCTGAATTCTTGAAATCTGTTGTTCTTCCCTTGGATTTTTCAATTAACTCAATATCTTCTTGTTTTTTTCTGTTATATTCTTTATTAATTATTAGCTTTCATATACGTCATAGACATTTCCTACTTGATGTCTTATATGCCAACATTAGAGATGTGGATGTGAGTATGGGTGTATTTCTAGCTCTTTTTTCATGAATGCCCGCACCTACATTCACCCTCATTCGTGTATTTCTCTCTTGATGAGCAGAAGTTGAGAAGTTTTAAGAGAACTACGATTAAAATACTTTTCCACTATAAGGAGAAGTTCTAGTCGGAATGGATATTTTTCAGCAGAAATATGAAATATGGAAGAAGATATCATTCATCCTTCTGCTTGAGTGAAAATATACGTGCAAGAATAGTTAATGATAGATATATGATTATATTCTTTTTTTTTCAGTTGTCCTTGATAACGTATGATTTTATGTTGAGTCTACTATATCTACTTAAAGGAAAGAATATTCCGATTCATTGATTCAACAATCTACTGCTACTTTATTGAGTTGCAATTGATCTTTTTAAGACTGAGAATATTAATTTAATAGACCAACAAAAAAGAAACTTGATTAAAAAGATGTAAATCGTTCGAACCATCGATTTCGATGAAATGTTGACGATATGGAGAGTGATATATGTAAATATGACTATTGCTGCTCGGAATTTTTTTTATTTGATTCTACGTTGCATTTTATTCGCCACTATAATGAAAGACTCGAAGAAGAATATACATATTTGAACTTGTCTAACATTGGTTTCCTCATTATTGATTCAATTTCAATGATTATGATTTCAATCATATAAGAAAAAAAGCAATCACTATACTCAGAACTGTTCTAAAATAAAGTAAAACCAATCAGGAGTAGCATGGCTAGTTTTGGCCTTTCTTCATTCCATTTAAGTCAACAACTAATTCATTTTTGTTCTTTTATTTATACGATAAAAGTGCAAACAATACAGCAAGTGAATAATTTTTCAAATTCTATAGTCTGAGAACGGTATAGAGGATGGTCCGTAAGTCTTAAGATACGATAAAATTCGTTTATATGAACACACAGAACAATGTCTAACCATTATGTTTCTATATCAGTTTCGACTATTTGTAACGGCTTTTCAAATGATATATTATTGAATAACATCTTTCCTTATAATAATAAAAATATAAACATAATAATGTAATGATGAATTTTTCGAAATCAATCAACATGATGCAGGATGTATTTCGCACACATCTCGACGTAGGTAAATGATAAAATCTTAAGGTTTTTTAAAAGATGCCCAGTGAAAAGTTCTACAAAAAATGTCTGAACAAATATTTACTGACTTGTTCTGATGGCCTATTTCATATTCAAGATCAATAACCTAAATGGTAGTGCTACTTCCCATCGTATTGAGAATAAAAAAAAATATTTCGTAGACTTTTTTATTGTGCAACTGAAGTCTATTTGTACAGATTTTGTAGTGTTTTCCAAGACGTATCTTTAAAAAAAAACTCAAGATTTTACTCAGTGGCGTAGCCAGGAATTTTTGAGTCATGGTCCATTTCCTGGTAATTTTTTTTGAGGAATGGGCAATATTGGGCAATTAAAAATCTGTTGAGCTTCAATTTTTTTTAAAAGTCTATTTCCATCAAGAAAAGCTATGCTTATTAAAGATGAATTGTCACATTCATATCAGAGTCGAACATGGGAGCATGGAATTTCGGCCTGGTCCAAAATTCCGGTGGCTTTTCGACTCGAGCCCAAATATTAGCGAAAATCCAGTCCAGGATGAAATTCATCTCACTGATCTTCATAAAAAATAGTCTAACAAGTGAACTAGTATCGTGTAACTTCAATGAATAGTTAGCACATTTCATAGTATGAAGCAATACGACGTAGTACAGAGTTGGAACTGGACCGGCCAACTTGCCAATTATGGATCCAATCCAGTTAGACTTTTCAAACCGACCGGTTTTCATCGGTTTTTTATCGATTTTTATGGCATTAAAGCTCGTCTGTTTTGGTCGTTTTTTATCGATTTTGACTGCTTTAACAATTCTGAAACATTAATATCAAAGTTTCTAACAGACAAATTTCTAGT